AACTCTGTCTTGATGCGACGGGCGGCCTCGCTCTCGTTCTCGTTCCTGGAGCCGCACAGCGAGTCCACCTCATCGATGAAGATGATTGACGGTTTGTGCTGGCGAGCCAGGTCAAATAAGTTCTTCACCAACCTGGGAGACACAGGGGGAGACGGGAAAATGAGACAGAGAGCGACACAAAGAGCGGGGACATGGGGATGCAGTATATTATTTTTCATGACAATTGTTGGAACACAGTTATTGACCTGCTTTTGTTATCTAATTGTTTTTTTATGTGCCTATATGTTTTGTGCTGTAGCACAATTGCCACTCAGAGGATATTAAAGTCTAAGCGCGAGGCACATACTGATTAAGATAGATGATAGCTACTACTGTAGTTTTTCCTTGTTGGCAAGTGCTGAGAGAAGGACTGAGGGCAGACACTGATGACGTTTCTGCTCTTGGACAGGTTGGTATTTGTAAAATATTTTGGGTAGGCTATGTAGCTATTGCATTTACTCTACCTAAATAATGGATTATTGTCTTGGAACTGTGAAAATGTCTCTGTACTGTTGGAGCTATTTCTGAACATGAGCCTGGGGCGAGGAAGAGACGTACTTCTCACTCTCTCCGAGCCATTTGGACATGAGGTCTGAGGAGGAGACAGAGAAGAAGGTGGAGTTATTGGCCTCAGTGGCCACGGCCTTAGCCAGGTACGACTTCCCTGTCCCCGGAGGGCCGAACAGCAGGATGCCTCTCCACGGAGTTCGCTTGCCTGAGAACACAAGAGACCAGAGGTGATGCTGATCATATGATGTCATACTAACTAAAACAGGCATGGGAGTCAACATGATAACATTCACTGCTGTACCAGCTAACAGCCAAACAACGAGGATGGAAATCTTTTCCTAAAAGAGGAGCAGCGCAACATCCATTACAGAGGTAATGCCAAAATGATAGTAATTTCAAAACATCTAAAGTGACTTTTCATCTAAGCAGTGATACTGAACTAGGGCTGGAGAATGTTTGGTGTTTTTGCTTAATAAATTATGAACTAAATTGTGCTGCTAATAGATCAATTAATTGTTTCATCTTTACATTTACTTATCATTATTATATTATTGACAATGTACTAACTTCATGTTCGCTTCAAGCACGTCTAAAAATGTGTAATATAATTAGTGGCTGTAAACAGAGTTATCGATGGAAGATCCCACAGTACCTGTAAAGAGGTGAGGGAATTTGATGGGCAGGATGACAGCTTCTTTAAGAGCTTCCTTAGCGCCCTCCAGTCCAGCCACGTCGTTCCACCTGACATTAGGCTTCTCCATTATAATGGCACCTGGACACACAGGCAGAGCATGAATAAGAGTGACAACGCCACCCTTAAAATGAAGACGGATGAAATACTTTAAAAGGTGATTGAACATCTGCAGTCCTGGCACAAATAAGACCTCAAAACTGAACCCAAAGAGGACCACTACTAAGAAAAAGTTACATTGATCAAAATGTCTCATTAGAATCACCCCAGGTGAAGATATTCCTCTTTGGAAGCAGTGTTATTCAATTATGCTCAGACCATGCTGATCTAATATCACATAAACATCATATCAACTGGCTTAATTCCCCTGGGAGGACTTATTGCACCCCTGCACATTTACAGACCCATAAGTTGCTCCTGCAGTTTCTTCTTCTCTGGATTTTCCCCCTCGCTGTCGCTATCACTCCTAGACCAGACACAAACAACAGAGAGGTTGACACTAGTACAGTAAAGCCCACAGACTTGTTGCTTTCTGAGAGGGAAGAAGACGGACAGCATACTTGTCATTGCTCTGTGCCTCCTTGACAGGCTTCTTGCCCTGTTTGTCTTTATTTTTCAGATAGTCCTTAAGTTTCTCCGCTCGGTCCAGGTACTGCATACACTTTGCTCGTATACTCTCCTTTGCCTTGTCACTGTGGGCCTCATCTGAAGGATAGATGAAATTCCAGACAGAAATGTGAATGAAAGCCACCAATGTCTGTACCAACAGAAGGGTAGTTCAACTACCTGTCAGAGTGCAGTACTCACATTTGATGGCATGTAGGAAATACTCCACAGCATGCTGATACAGGCGCAAGGCCTCCTCATAATTCTTTGCCTTGTCTTCCTCTGTGGCTTTAGTCACAAGATCAATCGCTTTCTGCAACAGATGCAGAGGAATGTAATCAGAACACAGAGGCAGAAGACGGATTGGGGGTGAAGGCACAGAAATAGAGGCAGGGAATGTTAGTCATCATCATATCAGTCGGCTCATGTCAACACTGGAGCTTCAACCATAACAAAGCACAAGTTATAACCCCAACATGCTATACAATATGACCCCATCACATTCTCTGACTTTACAACATGCACTGTGCTATTTGTATGGCAATGACTAAACTAACGTGTTCCATAACGTAAACCTTTTGTTTTCTCATATTGTTAACTGTCTGCACGGCCACAGCCCAGCAACCGAGAGACATTCTCCAGCGGTTTAACGTCAGTTAGCAATTCACACATTCATAACCCACACTACAATTGGTTAATATTATTGTTCTTATATTATGCAGTTAGCTAACTTAGTACAGCAAATCATGTTATTTTCAAGACAATTAAGTTACGGAAGCACTGTTCGCAGGCTCGGCTTACTAACTGGCTTGCTAACAATGTTAGCGGCTTTAGCGTCAGCTGTTCTGCTAGCCAGTTAGCTTGCATTTCAGCTGCTGTCTAATCGGCCAAGTTATGTCCACTTGCAGCAAGCTAGCGTTAGCCAGCTAATAGTAAGTTAGCCTACCTGTAATGTTGACGTTGTCATTTCATCTCACTCTTCTGCTCTCCGCCCAGATTTCTGTCCTCTGACCGTATCCAAAGGTGGATATGTGAAGAAATGAACTCGTTACCAGCCCTGTGTTGTGAGGGGACAGATTGCTCTTGACATGACAAGAGAGTGGTTAATACGTTCGCTAGCAAATATGACAGCTCTGCCTAGCCCCAACAAAAACCACAGCAACAACACTGCGTTTCCCGACAAGCTTGATGACACGAAGATAACTTCCGGTTCAAACTTTCAAAATATAACAGCGAATGACAAGCATTGTGCAGTAAAACTGACAGAATACACACGATTCGGCAATCTAATCAAGAATATGGTATGGATAAGATCTTTGCTAAATTATATATTTATAAAATATTTTCCCGTCGTATGCCTCAAACTTACAGCTGGATGAATGGTAACAACAATGGCAGCGCTTCCAGGGACTGCTGACGCGCCACCTAGCGGTCATATTGGTGGCAGAACTACACACATATTTGGAAAAACACACATAGGCCCATAAAAAGTCTATACACATTTTAACAGCGCACCCCAACGGGAAAAAACAACAGTCAATGCATAAATAATAAAGAAGATCTCGTACAGCCACAATCTTCACAAAAACCACACATCAATTTATGTAATTTGTAACAGTTTTATTGGTAGGTATTTACATTTGAGATTACTACATTGCTATTATACATTGTTTACCATATCTTGGAAGTCTAAAATACTTTGCATATGACAGGTTGTTGCAGCAGCACTTTATACTCTTGTGACAGTTCAGTGATTGTGTTGGACGCAAGCTGCCACAGATATTACCTTTGGTTCAAAAACCCCTTCTTTGAAGCATTGCTTTGCATAGACAGGATAGCCACAATTTCAGAACATAAAGAGAAAGGATTTGAAAAACAATAATCTGGAAGAAGAGAGGAGGTGTACATTCACAGGTTTACAGGGGTTTGATAGGTTAGTGCATCAAGCTCAAAGAGGGACGGCCTGCAGCTTGTTGAAGGTTTACTAACTTCAGACAATCAGATCTGTTCAGTGGGTTAGAGAACACAAAATGAAAAGTGTGGTGAAACAGTAGGATGATGGCGTGCAACACTTTACTATTGCTTTAAATGTTGCAGAAGCCAGCCTTTATGTCAGGCCAAATATAACTCAAACCTCCCACATACACAATGTTTTAAGGGAAGCAAAGTCTGCTTCTCCTTTAACACAGCCACTCATTAACTATACATGAAAAAGAGCTATACAGCCAGAGGAATATATGGTTACACATTTTCAGGTTTATAAAAAAGCCAAATCATCACAAAGACGACAGAATTTAAAACAGAAAAGAGGCCATTCTGACTGCGCTCCCTGTCTGAGGACAGAAGGGTTACCTTGTGTTCCTATGTTGCATGGTCAGTGGACACAATGCTGCATTGTTTGAGACCCAAAAGAACACAGAGACTCTACTGAAGGGTCACTTTAGCAACATGTACCATGGACCAAATAAAGGTTATGAAAATGTGTCAATTACAGTCACGTTGAACTCATTAAAGAGTCAAGTCTCAATACAGGCACTGGACTGAGCAGACGAACCGAAGGGAAGACTGTAATTGGTTTAGCGAACTTCAACTCGCCTCGATTTTAGTGCCAAAAATTTACCAAATTTAGGGGTACTGGCCTGTGTGAAATAAATAAATAAACAATTGGTTGTTTGGATGTTACTGATTGACAGCAACCATAAGGTCTGCAATGGGATTTTAGTTCCAAAAGGTTTCTTAAGCACTTGAAAGTTCATTCTTGAGCTTGTTTGACGAATAACCTTAACTCTCGGACTTTTCACTAGCTTTTGCACAGAGCTTGCAACTGCATCTCAGTTGTCATCATGTGACCTCACTCACACTACATTGTTAGAACAGTGAGGACTGAATGGATACCGGAAACAGACTGCAGATGTCTCTAAAGTTGGTTAAGAGTGGATTCGACGGTTGCAGCACAGAAACAGAGCAACACCTTTAGACATGTTTCATGATGAATAATATGTTAACATGTCGCATTCAGAATAGTTCTTTATCCTGCTATTAGCATTTGACTTGAATATTTATTTTTGTTTTTTTCTGATGTACCTCATGTACCATGCAACAACATTTCTTTACTGAAGTTTATTTTTCTTTTGTTCGATTACAGCCAATTCCCTCTTATCTCATCCCTTTTAATATATTCTAAATATATTGTGTTGTTGTATATTTCACATGTTATTTGCAACTGGAGATATGAATGTGTTGACACAAATAAAATGGGCTTTTAAGATTAAAATTAAGTTCTAACAGAACAACATACTGTATCACAGAGTTAGGAATGTTTGTAAAAAAACGGAACAGTACGCCAGATGTAAGATGAATTCTTGTCTCTGATTGGCTATGTCTGCTCTGTACATATATGTGATCAAACATGTGATCACATGAGAGCTGAACTTAAAGGTTACTCCTACACTTCACCGTAAGTAGGAGAAAATCTCTCAATAAATGAGTCTTACTCAGCAGATAACATTTTCAATCCCCAGTCGGCTCATTAGTGCGGAAGCCCTAAGCCGCCATCGATTCATATTTTTACTTTACTCCGTTTTCCCGTGATAACGAGATAATTATTTCATGATCTTGAGATAACGAATGTTGTTTGCTCGTGATAACGGGATAATTTTCTCGTGATCTCGAGATAACGAACCGTAGCTCATATTAGGGGTCGGCAGGTGCGTTTCTTTACAACAATTTTCGATGCGCACACTCCAGCACGTGATTAATTGTGAGCTTGTGAATCAGTCATCTTTATAACAACTTTGATGAAGAGGAATATGAAAAGGCTAATCAGTGACACCAAAACCACCTTGAAATTACCATTAAGAAACATTCCTGCCAACCCCCGTGTTAAACTACTGTTTTGTTATCTCTTTATCACGAGAAAATTTTCTTTTTATCACGAGAAAACAACAGTCGTTATCTCGAGATCACAAGATAATTATCCCGTTATCACAGGAAAACGGAGTAAAATAAAATGTTCTTTTTTCCCCGGGCCTTGACCAAACTCATTCACAGCATCAACTGGAAATGGGTTATAGGTCATCGACCGGGAGTCAGTGGACGGCCGGAGAAAGGTGACCAGCAGAAACCAACTTCAAACAGAGAAGGGGTGACCAACTCTCCCAAAATACAAACACCTATTATCATGTGAGTTAAGTTCCATGCTTAACGTGATCACAGCTGAGTTACCTCTATGACAACTGAGCATGAGATGCGTCTGAAAGCTTCAAAAGAAAGCTAGTAAGTGGACCTTGAGTAAATATCATTTTCTCAAACTTTCATAATCTTTCTGACACTAAAATGTGAGAAAAAGACTGTAATAAGCTAAAAATCGGATGTGTTCAGTAACTTCTCTACTGCAGGGGTTCACAGCAGGTGAGATGCCTTTGACCGCCACAGTTCAGATTATTAAAATACATTGTTACCTAGTCTTTAGCCAGAGAAGTGATGCTGTAGGAATGGTAACAAGAGATGAGTAATCTCAAGCAAAGTGGAATGCGATGATTTTGAGATGGAGACAATGTGGTAGTGTAGGTCAAGAAGGGGAGGTGACACACGGCCATGTCATATATCATCATCTGATGCAGAGTTCAATGTCAGGAAGTCATGCTATCATATACACTGACGTTAAAAACAAACAACATAAAAACAAAGTAACATGATTTACACTATAAGAGTAATACTATTGCTTGCGCATGTGGAAAGCTTAAAATTCTCTTATTGTGTGAAATAAAAAAGGAAACATTACAAAGAGTGTCTTTGACTACAAGTAAAAAGGCACAGTTGGCAATCCTGATTACAACAGTAGTTTGGGATAACGTGCTAAAAGGTGAGACAGCAGGCACACTATCAAGCCAACAGAAGCGTGCAGTATAGAGACACACACACACACACACACACAACACAGAGAGCTTTCTTCATTCACGCAATCTCTGCTCTATTAACTGCATTCTGACTCTAAAACAGCTTCTCTCACTCACATCGAAACAAAGACAAACAAATACCTTAAAAAGATACACTGGAAGGCTGTCATGGAATGATAGGCATAGAGTTAAAAGAGAGAACATTTACCAATTGTCTAAAAAATCCTTCCTTTCAGTAACCCTTTGCTTGAAGTGCACTGGTAATGGAATCTCACAAGCACATCACAGCATCTTAGCTTGCGTTTTTAGTTTGTTCTTTCATCATAATGGAATTAAATACATTATCACATGGAATGTTATGAGATTGTTAATAGCTATTTTTTGCATTTTGTAACTGCCTCCTAACACTTCATGACTTCAAGCAAAGTGCCACGTTTTTTTACCTGACTTTGCAATAGAAATGATTGCAAGAGGCCGAGGAGAAGTTGGAAGACAAGGCACATTTCTGAGACAATCAACAATACAACTCATGGGTTAAATCTTCCTTGCAGCGCCGCCCCAGGCCTAACTTCGGTTGTGAATGGAGAAACTGAAAAAACAAAAATCAAATGATAATGTAAAAATAAAAATCAACCCTAAGGTATCAGCCTTTTGGGAGGGTCTTCCCACTCCTCGGCGTACCTTGGCCCGCCCTCTCGTCCACGCTGCTGTTGTTGGTTGTTTCACGTCAGCAGGCCCATACGAGTGAGCTTGGCTGACAGGAAAGAGTGGAGGACAAACACCACCGGCTTTGGACCTGAGTGGAGGTCAAATACCTGGAGGATGGACGGAGAGAGGGAGTGAGGTAGGAAAGGGTAAAGGAAACAAACAGCAAGGAAGATGTGACGGGAAAAAACACAAGGATATAAATAAGGGTAAAACTCGGTTGTAATAATCTGTACTGAGATATCTGACCCCGCTGCATTTGCTGAAGTGCAGATCACTTAAAGTATAGTATCTTTCTGACTGCCAGAGACGGTGGAAGTCCAAGCTCTTCTTTAATGCGAATGTATCAGTTCAGTAAATGCTAAAGTGATGGCTATGTTGCTGCATCTAATGTTGTTTTCCAATATTTCAAGGATAATGAAATGACACAATATTAGTAGTATGAGAGTCAGTGGAATGACTTATTAGTTGCACATCACCAAAATACAAGGTTAGAGCGTTTTACACAAGGCTACATACAAGTAAATTTATGGGTTAAATGACACAAGCTGCAATCATGCTTAGGAAATCATG